GGTAAGTTTTTTAAAATCCGATGTGTGGATCACATAATATTTCAAAAATTTTAACTTTTGAGTATAGATGATCCGCACTGTAGTCATGGAACTTCAGTATATGAACCTAGAATTCCATCTACTAGAATTGATATTATTACTAATAGTAAATATGACTAATTGATTAACTATTGCTTATCATATTTATTATTTAAATATTTTTTTTTTCTAATTAGTGGAAAATACAATTTATGAAGATGTCATTGTAAGTGATGAGATTGAAAAGACTGAAGAGAAGGAATAAGTTAATAATACTTTTACCAATTTTGCTTTTAAAGGTTTAGGACCATTTCAATGATTTATTAGAATGTTAGAAATTGTAATTTCACCTTTAAACTTTATAGTATTGATTTATTTTTGAATATTCATCTCCATTCATTATGTTGTATATTTCTTAATGCTCTTAATAAATCATTTATTTTTATCCATTATATCTTCTAATTTATTATTTCTTAAATATTCTTCTAATGGATCATCTATATATTTAAACTAAATGCTTTCTATTACTTTATATGCATCTTTGCTCAAGATATCTAAGTAATGGTGATGGTGTATAAAGTTCCTCTAGATCGAACCTATCAAATACATCCTGCAAGAACTTAAGACATTTAGAAGATGTTCAGAAATACAGATGCATCATGATATTTTTTGCAGTTGGCCTATACCATCATGTACTGTGAGAATTATTATATAAATTATAATATTAAAAAATTTGCCTTTTTTTCAGGTCCCCAGCCTCTGCATCATTCTCTTTTAAATGCTTTAAATTATTTAGGTTATAGAGACACTCTTCAATGCATTTATTTTTCTTAAATATAGGCTATGATGACATTACTTCATAGTCTATAGTTGTGTCAATAGTCACAAAAGAATTCAATTCAAATTCAGCAGTAGCATTTATTGATGATGATGATTTATTACTGCTACTATCAGAAGATTTCTTAGTGACTTGATGATCTTTCATTTTTGAATTTTGATGAAGATGGTGCTGAAGGAATGTTGCCGCATTTATTATATTCATCACTTCTGCCTTTACTCTTACAATCACCATCACCATAACGTTTACCAGAATTATTATCATCATTTTATGATCTTGTAATGTGATATATAAAGTTATTTGGTTTTAAATTCTTAAAGGAAAAAATTTAAATAAACAGAAAAGCTCTTTTTAAAATACTTTATCAATTTGTGTCATCATCATCACCATTGACGAATTATTATATCATTCAAATATTTTATTTTATTTTGAATTAAATTAATATAGATTGTATTTCAAAGATCCTATCAATTTGTTGCAGAGAAAGATTTCTCTAGTGTTGATAAATTTATCCTGATAAATTAAAATCAAAATAAGCATTAGTTATGATGAGGCAAGTATAGTCAAACATTGTTATGGCAGACTATAATTAATTTCATGTTATAGCGGAATTTTAAAATTAATGATTTTGCCATAATGTATTTTAAGTGAACTTTCTCTATATGTGTCACATGTACCCATTGTGGCAAAGTTTAACTACATATTGCTATTTGAGATGATGTATGATTTATTTACAGAATGGGAGGAGGAAAAAGATCTTGATTCCAAAAAGCGAATACAAAGTTTTAATTAAACCAGTTTCCAAATCAATTAATTTAACATAATACAATATCTCTATAAAAAACATACCAAACAGATTTCTTTTGTCTCAATCTTTTTCATACTGTAAATTTGATCTATGATCTTTTGAACGTTTCTTTCTTTACACGCATTTTTTGTGTCATTTTAAAGTTGGTATTTACGTGATAATCGCGTTCCATAAAATTCAGTTACACTGTATATGGTAAAAGAGAGTTGAAATTAACAAATTTAGAAAAGAAAATAAACCTTCGTGGAGTATATAGTTCACATAGGTGTATTCTTAATTCAGTTGTAACCATTACTAGTTTGTTTTTAAATTATTTATTTAAATATTTGGCGCCCAAATTCCTTGATAGAGCTCTCACACTATAGTCGACTTACTTTGTTTATGACTTTGTGCTGGGCTCTATTAAATTAGTTATTTTATCAATATTTTGGTTATTACAGTGTTGATTTTATAAAATTTGATGAAGTAGTAAAAGGCTAAAGAATAGTCCATTCAACAATCTGCAAAAAATTCATTAATTATGAAGGTAAATATTTTTGTCAAGTATTTGTAGTGTTATTTTTATCTTGATAATAATCGATAAAGGCTTTATAATGTTGATTTTGATTTGGTTTTTGTTTTACAACCGTAGTAACAAGATGCTTTTCCTAAATTACTTGAATTATTTAAAGATTTTGATAAAGAAATTCTTTTTTATTATCCTTGTGTCCATGTAGCAGTGTAAATCTACCTTCGATTAATTTTGTTATATCTACAAATTGTTCAAAAAGTATACATTTCTAACATCAGAGTTGGCAAGATGAGAGCATTTGATATGCTATTTCCAGATGTCCAAATAGTGAAAAGACTCTGTAAATTGTAAACTAATACGACCTTCACAGAATCTATCAGAGTATCTTGTTGGTTACATTCTTTTGGTCTTTTCTCTATATATATACATTGCCTTTCTTAATTCAAAAACATAAATTACAATATTCTTTTTCATTCTCGATAAGTTCCTGAGTAACGCGTGTGGAATTTAAATTAGCCAAAGTTTTGTTTTGTATCCAAATTCACACGATTGATTTTGACCCACAACACATCAATTTTAAATCGTATTTTGATTCTAAAATTAGCAATATCAAATTGATTGATTAGTATATTTGAATTCCAAAACTAGTCATGAATATCGGATTGGTTGTTGATTAGTTATTATTAGTATTTAATTTGAAAGAATCTTTCTATTTTCTATATCAGAATTAACCAGAGCATTATTATACATTTATTTCATTATCGATTTTAAATACAAATTCCCTTCTTCCAGTGATAATTTGACAAGTCTATTTGTTATAACCCATAAAACCAAATCTTTAGCCGTTGGTTTTGGTACCATGTTCTATTTAAGTAAGTAAATATTATAATTAATATGAATATTATAGTTGGTTGTTCTTGTTACTTTAAAAATAATTACGGAATGGTAAATTTATAATAAATAAATGTGTGTGTATATGTATGTACGTATGTATGTATATTATGTAACATATATAAAGTTATATGGTTGTTTCGAACTCCTCTTTTTCTTTTTTTTTATTTTTATTTTATTTTTATTTTAGAGTTAAATGTTTATTTTTATTATTATTTATTATTTATAAAAATTTTTTTATTTGATCGTCAAAAAATTTTAAATAATAAATAATACAATAATACAAGTGCCACCTTTTGATTTTTTTGTAATAATAATAATAATAATATTTTAGTCAAAAAATCTGAATTGGATTATAGAAATTATGTAACATATATCACGCGTTTTTTAAATATATAGAAAAGTCCAGTAGTGGCAAAGAATAAAACTTGATTTCTATATTTTACCCAAATAAAAAGAACCGATTTATCACCCAAATGTATAATTGACATACAGAAAATTACCCGATCTAGATGATCTATTTCGATTTGAAAGACCCTTCCCAATTTATTATTATTGGTTATTTAATAAGCCCTTCATAGTAATTACCAATATCCTACACACGCGCGCAACCAATTAAAGAAAATAAAAAAAAACCAAATTGGTAACCATTACCCCCCCCCCCTCCCTATGAACCTTACTGAATTTTTAAGGAAAGTAAAATTCGCGGATTATCATCAAATCACGAATAATAGAGTATTATTTAACTATCTGTCATTAAAATGTTTATGAAACCAGTCAATAAAATTAATCTCCTTGAAATAAATATTTAATCTCCCTAATACTGAGAATCAATTATGCCAATTTTTTTTTCTTTTAGCAAGCACCATTGTTTTCATTTGAAACATCACACAAAAGAAAAATGGGTTAAATATGAGATGCTTATTCAATGTATCTTCAAAATTTATACCAAGAAAGTCGCAAAAAAGTCAGAAATATGAAACAATAATATCACAATATAATATTGAATAACAACTATCGTAGAAAAAATATATTTGATATAAACTATTTTGTTTATTTATAATAATGATAATGAGAATGATAACGATAATAGTGCTAGACAACCACACAAAGCAAGTGATAAAATAAGACAGGCTCTCGCGTCGCCGTATCCTTTTCTTCCTTCCTTCAGCGGTGCCTGCTATCGATGAAATCTACATTATTGTTAATTTTAATAGTAATCGTCATTACTTTTTTATTTTTATTATCGCTATTATTTATACTAACACATAAAGCTATGGTTAAATAAACGAGGAAATGGAAAAAAAAGTATATAAATGAAGACTTGAAAACTAGAGAGAGAGATCATAACAGTAATGATGATTGTTAATCGAAAAAAAACAAGAGAACATACATATATCATGTTATTAAACTTTATAAAAAAAACAAACGTTTCATCATATCATTTGGAGCCCTTCCTTTAGTATGGTTGTTTTTTTTAATGATGAATTAAATAATGTAATAAAAAACTATTTTACTTTATGAATCATTTCATTAAATCGGGTTTTAATTATGTCATTTAATGAATTGTTGTCACCAGACTGAAGGAT